TTTTTTTGACAAATATATTCAGTACTTGGTCAAAGATCCATATTCAGTCCAACCCTAATGTAAATTTATTATGAATTACACTGTTTTTGACTGATACAATAACAAATATATAATACAATTTTTATATAAATGATAACAATATAAATTAAAGCATAAAAAATTTTTTTTATGCTTTACTTACTTAGAAATTACTTAGAATCACTTCTTATTACTGTACATTTAACTTCAGTTTTGAAGAGATTTAAGTAACATTTTATATTCTTTATCTTTGTTCATGATCAGTATACTAAACATCCCAAAGCCTGATACAGTAGAACCCCTCTAGTCCGCCCTCGGCTAGTCCGTCACTCCGGTTAATCCGACCGTGGTCGGAGTCGAGAAACTTGTCCCGACTCATCGGTGACTCACCGTCCGTGGCGTTTTTCTGTGTTCGTTACAGTATATATTTTACATTGTGTGTTCATGTACAGTTTTGTGTGTGTTTTCAACATGTCAGGAGTGAAACATAAACACGTTACTCTTTCATTAAATGAAAAATTAGCAGTGCTACAAAGACTAGACAAAGGAGAAGATTGTTTATTTTACTTTTTTCTGATAATCCGACCTTTTTTGCGTTCCGACCATACCNATTAGCAGTGCTACAAAGACTAGACAAAGGAGAAGATTGTTTATTTTACTTTTTTCTGATAATCCGACCTTTTTTGCGTTCCGACCATACCCCCAGTCCCAAAGGTGACGGATTAGAGGGGTTCTACTGTACATAGATACTCAACCAAATGATCTCCTTAAACAATTGTGCTATAAAGGTTATATCTAAATTTAAATAAGTCTGGAAGCAAAGACTAGCTTGGGGTCTGGATGGCACAACTGGCAAGCATACCATACGGCAAGTGGAAGTTGAGGGTTCATGCCCCACTCCAGGCTAATTCCAGATAATTCTACACTTTTAAATAAATTATTAAAATTATAATTATTGATTTAGATAAGAGATGGCACCCAATGTCTACCTCTAGTACCAAGTTAGTTAGTATTTGTTTGTGCTGTTCTTTTCATAATAATTTACTCAAAACAGTAAGGAAACATATTCATTTTTTTTATAAAATAAAAATATTTAATTTCTATGTATAACATCCTTTTAATCCAAAGAATTTTTAGTGGTAGACATTCTTACAGCATTTAAGATCATCTACCAAGAAAAATTCTTTGGATTAAAAGGACATTATACATAGAAATTGAATAAACAGCAATCATACTATATTAATAAAAATATTTAATATACAGTGTTTTTCAAAAGAAACATGCCAAAGGAGAATGTATGGAGTTTGTAGACAAAGTATCAGGAAACAAGTGCATAGTGTATTGATTACATGGTGCATCATTTCATATCTGCAATACATAAAATTAATTGTACAAAATTCATATGCATGATATAATCCCTTTCAACTAATGTAGGTCCAGCTGCATATGTAAATTCTATAACTTATATGCTGTGAGGCTTAAACTTGGTTCTTTTTAACACTTGATATGCAGTTTTATTTAAATAAAACTAAATACTACTATAAAAAACCCAGTAAGATGTCATGTTCATGTTATCATCTGCATATCATGTATTAAGAAGAACAAATTCAATTCTCACAACATACCAGTTAATTACAGAACTATGTAGCTGGACTATAATAATTGAAACTGACTCAAAATTTGTGTGTTGTCATGTGACCACATAAATTTTGTGCAAGTATAACTTCTGTTTGACATTATTGCAGAGCTGAAATGTTGCATCATATAACCAATATACTATACACTTGTTTCCTGAAGCTTTATCTACAGTTTCTCTGCACAATTTCCTATGGCATGTTTCTTTTGGAAAACACTATATATTATTATCCAAATTTTAATTTTAAAAATGAAAATTAAAAACAGAAGAAAACTTACGTTTCACAGATGTATCCAGAAATTCTTGAATGTCTTCAGTGGATGATATGTCAGACGCAAGAGCAAACATAAACTTTGATTCAATTTCTTTGAAAGACTGATGTAGAAGTTCCCTACGTTCTCTTAAATTCATCTTTACCAAAGATTTACCATTTAAATATAATAAATCGAATACAAATATGCATACTTGTATTTTTATTTCTGACTCAACGACATCCTAAAAAATTAAAAACTGTTTGCAAACTGGAACCATATATTCTGAAGTTATAAAATTCACTAAACAATGAATGTCTTGCAATTGCCAAGTTAGGACATTGTCCTAACACAATAACATTCAATGATTTTCAATTCCCTTATATAGTTTATGTTGTAAGACAGTAACATTGTAAAAGTTAGCACTGTTTAGTGGATTTTATTCTGATATGAAAATAAAAAAATTTTGTTTTACATTTATTATTTAAATTAAATATTAAAAACCTTTCTTTTTCTTGTACTGAGCACTTGAAAAGGAAGTATCTGTTTATTTTCTACATCCCAAGCAACGGCTTCGCTATCAATAATACATGACTTAACCTCTGGCTTCAAAACCAAAGGCATCCTACTGATAATGTCTGGATATTTTGAAGTGTTATTTTCCTGGTTTCGACTGTATATCTGAACACGTCCATCTTCTAAAACATGAATCTAAAAAAGTTTAGATAATAATTTGTTAATAAATTCCTTTTTTATTTGATAACTCATGCATTTAAAAAGTTTCATACTCTGAATTTTCAATATAGTTTTTGTGTACACTGATTGAAAATAAATTATTACTAAAGAATACAACTACCTTAAATGTATTGTCCTTATCTCAATCATTTCTAACTGTTCTTTTTATATTATACATACCCAAATTTTGGTGTTGTGTTATTTTTAGTATATTAAATCACCCTGCATAATGTCATTTGTTTCTATTTTTCTTTGCCAACAGGTTTGCAATTTGTCCTTTTTTGATTTTTGTCTGCTTGAGATCATATTTAAGGCCATAATTCCTCTATGACTGCACCAGAATGAACTAATATATGTGTGTATATGAAAGTGTTGATTCAGACTGGATGTACAGTACTTATATATGTACATAGTGTAAAGCAATGTTGTGGGGAGTAAGATCCATTCTAAGGAGCATAAAGATCTACTTATCAATTATGAATACTATTGCTTGCTTTGGAGTACAACTTTCATACATACTAATCAGTTTGGTTAGAATATCAATTATAATATAGCATTAAAAGTACTCATAGATTTAGTATTTATTTCTCTAAAGTTATTACATTTAAGTTATTGTTTTAATGATGTCATGATTAATGTACAGATGGTTATTGCTAAATTAAATCAAATTAAAATTTGATTTCCTTTAGCAGTGTCTATGTGTACTATTATTCTTTTGTTTTAGTTGAAAAATTATTGTGTACTATCAAACCATAGTTTTATTAAAATTAGAAAATTATAGTTCATTATGCTTTTGTGAGGGCCAGGATTTAAGAATGCTGAGATTTGAATATTTTTATTCATTTTCATCTATCATTTTTGTTTCAAAACCCAAAAACGATTTTATAAAAGTTATGGTTAACTCAAAAAAGAAAAACAACCGACAAATTTTCTCATAAAAATCGCTCATAAAACTCAATTCCCACGAAAATACTTCCTTGTAAAAGAAGATCTTCCTTGTAGAAGAAGATTGGTCAAAGAAGATCATCACCTGTGACGTACATGGGGAAATCTCGAGAAGCGAGCCCCCATATAAAAGGCAAGTGCGATGATGACACGGGGGAAAGTTATTTTTCTGTACTATGTGTGTGTGTGTGGATTACCTGCCTCTCGTCGCCACAGTCTTCGACAGACTTTACAATTCTGACTTTGAACTGAATTTCGAACCTGGGAAGAACGAGAATTTGGATCAACTAGACATCAATCTAAACATCAATGTTTATAACTAGAGGTATTTATTCCACTCGCGAGGATATGTAAGCTCTCTCTCGAATATTTCCAACTCGAGGTTAGAATTGTGACTAATATATATTTTGTCTGCTATCAAACCCGAAACTTATGAATTATACGGATTGAAAATCCTGAGAGGGAACTGTAACCTTGATTCCTAATTAATTATCTATGTAAAAATGTTCAACAATAAATGGGTATATTGTTAATGAACTTGGATTGGTGCGTGTTTCTTCCGGCATTATCATCTCCATACTGAACCAGAAGTCCTCGACGAGATCGCTCATGATAATTTTGTCCTCAATTAAACGCGTATCTATCCGCTAAGAAATTGATAGATTGGTGTCAGATCCTGACGGAAGAAAGGATTTAACGATCCTTAACTCTATAACCCTTTCGCTCAACAGAACCCATCCTTTGGACAAGAGAGACCGCACCTCAAGGTCTTGAGTTGAGTAAGAGATAGGAGAGTCAAGAACTCGTAAACGTCCTATCCCCAATTAGTCTCACACTTTCACAAAGTTTAAAGGTACAAAGCATTTATTTACAAAAAAAGAGGACATCTCAAAAAATTCAAGAACCATTGGTGTAAGATCTTCCTTAATTGTTTTGTTGTATCTGTTTAGGATATTTATGGTCTCTTTTTGGCATCAATACCTGTATACCTAAGAAGTATTTCTTGGAATAAATGAGAAAGTATGCCAATTAATTTTCTGTGATTAATGTCATCCATTGTAATTGGTATGGTTACTATTTTGTGATTGTTTTCATCATTAATTATTGCTGGACTGTTATCAACAAATGTATGATCTTCAGTATAATGTAGTATTTGTGCATTGATGTATCTGTTCTGAATTCTGTTCATTGGAATGTTTGAGTATTGTTTGTAAAATAAATTTGCTGTGTTTGTAATTGCTCTTTTTGAACACCACCCTTTTGTCTTTATATTTATTAAAATTATTATTTATAAAAATTTCTGAAACTATTTCATATATATTTATCAACATTTCACTTTATATTATAGACCAAATAATTAAATAAGTCCAGTCGCCCCCCCTATAAGATATAGATACGTTCCAATTTATTAGTAATCCGATTTCTTACAAGTCGTTCCAATCACAGCTGACACGTGTCAAGTTTACGGACTACGGCTGATTGAAAGGTTTTCTTCCATAAAATTAATCGATTCTACACTAATCCGACTCAATATTTCCAAAATACGTATATTTTTTCGTAGTTTTATAGGAATCGTAATTATAGGGACCGTAATTATAGGGGGGTCGACTGTAGTTAGAAATTACTAAATTTGATTTACAAATAAGTGATACAAAAAAAAAAATAAAAAGCAATATTGAGATTTACCTGTGCTCTTTCACCATCGTATTTAAATTCACAAGTGAATTTTGATTTTTCAAATCTATGCAATATTTCTTCAATTCCTTTGGTGGGATGAGCTAACATCGGCTTCAAGGGAATTCCGGGAGTTATGTGACAATGATCAGGAAGTGCTTCTAGACCTTCCGAAAGTAGGACAGGAATAATCAGATCATAACTAGGACACTCGCTAAAAAATACAATATGTTAGTGATTAATTTTTTTAAAATAAAAATTATATCAAAATTTTTTTAAATAGTCAATTACTTAAAAATAAGTCAATTATGAGATCTGAGGGTACATATTAACATACTATTGTTAGTAATGTGTTTCCTCAGATTTAATAATTGACTTTTCTTTTTATGTAATCCGTAAATAATACGTTTAATGCATATATCAGTACATAAGACCTAGGTTAATGAAACTTTTTCTAATTCAAAAAATAAATAAATAAATAAATAAAAATTTATTTGTCATTATGTAATTAGTTCAATAACATTATAATTAACAACAAGAAAAAGGAACAAAAAGGAATTTTCCTGCAATAGTTGCTCAGTAAGGAGTCTATAGTGAAGCCAAACTTTGACTTATTTTTCTTCAGTTTTCAAAGAAAATTTTTATTAATTAATTTTGCCGAGCCGAAATTTTTAATCATAGTTTTGATTTATTTAATTTAAAACATATGCTCTCTACCTCAAATAAGTAGTGTCTTGCCCCTGTACATCATACTTTTCCTTAAACAATAGAGTCGTGCTGATGTTCTATATAACACCTTTCTGGGGAAAATTTTTGAATTGAAATAATATATAGTTAATTGGGCCTCCTACTCTAAGGTTTCCATATCTGGTCTCAGATTTTATATAACTCCATTCTCAAGATTAAGAAAGGACAGACGAATGGACAGACATAAACTCCCACTGTTGTCCATCTTAAGTCTACAATTTTTTCAAATTGCAGCTCAATTATTTTATCTTCACCAGTGAATGACATGGTAGTAAGTTATTTATTGGACTAGTTAGATAAAAATGTAGTAAATAGTAAACGCTTTGAAAAAAGCATTTACTTTTTCATGTGTGAAAGAAGTTTACTAATAAAAAGGGAATGACTTGTAATAACCAATTAATTGAAGTGCAAAAGAGTGGGAGTGACCACTCCCACTCTTTTGCACTCTAATTAATTGGTGAATAACAAAACTGGACTGAGTTGCTCTCTTTTTATATATTCATCCGGTGTGGTGCAGTTAAGAAGTTTATTAATAGTAAATGCTGGAAACACTATCAAAATGGTGTTGCCATGTGAAGAAGGAAGCCAAAGATTTGCAAAAATGATCGTCTTTGTGAATGTTTTTAAAAAATATAGATTATTTTTAAACAAGTCACGGTTTTCTGCTATAAAAAGTAGTAAATAATAAATTTTCAGTTTTTCAACAAATGGTTGAAAAACTGAAAATAAATCATGTAACTGAGATGAATAAGAAACAGTTTATAAAGACGTTGAACAAGGTGAAAACTGGTTGACTTAAAAAAAAGAAAACAGATCTGAAACAGATTGAAAATGAACCAATTGTGCTAAAGTGGAAAAGGGCTATTTTTGATTTGATGGATGGAACTCTCATTACATAAGCCTTTGTTAAAGTGTTTTCCTTTGGGAGTCTTAGGATCATTGTAGGGAGTAAATGACCAAGTGCAATACTGCAACTAGTATATGGGAGTAGAAGTACATCTTTGGACTTCATCAAACTTTACATTTGATGTTACATTTCCAAATTCAACTGATGCGAATAAATCAAGGCCAACACGCATCGACACAAGTAAACTACTCATTGGCATTGCATTTGACCTGAATGTTAATCATTGAAGGACTCTCCTCTTGACAAAATGTCCACACAAAGGTCAAATTTCAAGATTTGCATGTATCCACAATACATTTTGAAACACTTTCACCAATTCTGCTTCGTAGTCTTGTTTTTGCTAAATGTTTTCAAAGACTTATCAGTTCTATGTTTGCAATAATTCAGTCAGTTACCTATTTAGCAGTAATGTACTATAACTCAGTTTTCTATAAATGATGCTGTAAAACTTTAAAATTACCCATTTAATTATCTTTTTGACAGCACTTGGCAGAACACTAACTTTGCAACTCATCTGAAATCCAAGATCTGATATATATTTTCAAAATATCAGAAAAATCAAAATATCATCATTTTAATTTTGAAGGAAAGGCCACTTCCCCTCATAACCAAGAAAGTAGAAGGCATTCCACGCCACGTTCTCTTCATAAAATCTGTACAATTTCTTAAAATTGGTACATACCATGTTGATTCTAGATGTATACTTCTTAATTTTTCTTGGCATTATTATTGGATACAACAAAGACATTTTCTCTAAGTTGAAAATCAAAAATATGTGAATATGAAGCCTTTTATCTGTGCTTTATAGTACAAATTTTTTACAGCAAATTTTTTACAACAAATTTTTTACAGTATTTACTTAAAAAAACAAAGCTTTTACTTATTTTTATTCACAGATTTGTGAACATTTACTAGTTTTAGCTCTTTATAATATGAAATGCTCTGTACTTTTATTATATTAAATATAAAGCAGAAAAACATTATAAAACTAATATTGTTCAAGTTTCACCTTTAATAATGCCATCTAGTATCAACGTACTTAACTATTTTGCAAAATATCTTACATTACTTTGACTTGTCCATAAACTTTATCTAATAAGAAAGATTCTTTAGAAAACATTACTTGAAAAAGAAGGATGTTGGCCATTATAATGCTAAGATGACTACATCTTAAATAATTAATCATGATTTGGTGCAAACTATCAATATTATAGGTGGAACCACTAATTATGATAGAAGATAGATGTATTGGAATAAGGGAAAAACTTACAGCATAGCTGTTAAAATTCAGTATTTATGCACCAAATATGCTACCAAACAGAAAATTGACCAGCACTGTTAGCAGGTTTTCCCAGTCTCAATTTCTACCTACTGCAAGTCAATGACATGAGTGAAAATTTCCAAATTCATCTTACCAAAGGATAGTAGAACTTTTGTTTCCATAGAAATAGTTTTAGAAAGGTTTGATTGAATCATATGAATCATACAATTTAAACTGATTATTACTGATTGCACTAATTCAAATACATTATAAATAAGTTATATTGTATTTTATTAATGATGAAACATAATTATGTTAGAAAATTTAAATGTCAGCTTAAAAAATAATTCTATTTTGACAAAGGTATGTTGATATGAAGCATGTCATAACAAAGTGTGTCACTTTCACTTAATTTTCAATATTCGATAAAATCTTTTTAAAGCTTGAAATTTGGCAATGTTAATATTGGTTTATAAACCAACACAGAGAACGGGTATAATGCGAGCTATTGGAAATAGCTATCACAATTAATCTGCCTGCAGCTGTTTTTAACTGTTCTGAAAAATTTATTTGTCAACTGAATTTTGGGCTATCCTAAATATATGAAAGAATTTCTCTGCACTTTACAGTATTCATCTTATTTTATTAAATCTCAATTTCTTAAAATTCTATTTTTATAATAATTTGTAATTATTACATAAAATATTAAAAGAGCCAAGATGTTGAACTAAAGAAAAGTTAGCTTCTTGATAACAAGCACTGAGTTCAGCGTTAACACAATCTTCTTATGTCGAAAGTACTTGCGAGATAAGAAAATTGTGTTAACGCTGAACTCAGTGCTTGTTATCAAGAAGCTATACCATTTTGGCATGAGTTTTTATTTATCTATTTCTATAAAGTAAAAGTTAATATGACTTACCAATAAGTTGATTTTAGAATAGCCACATTTTCTTCAAATTTTTTCTTAATACTTTCATTTGATAAACCTTTTAGTGAATTAAGTATTTTTGGTGGATATTCCTGATTTGGTGGTGTCAGCACAGCCGCTTGAGCCAAAGCCGAGAGTATGGATTGTTCAGCCAGGCCGACTCGAAGCTTACCACTTAGAGAACGAATGAGATATCTTGCTTCACAATGTCGACATGCAACAAACAATCCTTTAATCTTCTCAATCTTTTTATTCATCGACTAAACATCAAGTAATATTTTTATTATTATTAAATTTGTATTTGTAATACAACTTATCATAATCTAGTTACTATAATTTCATCAGTTATTATGTAATTTAAGTGATAATTAAACAACAGAGTTTCTGATTCAGGAATTTCTGAGACAAAATTCCTGAAAAATTTCAAAACTTTCTTTGTCTCAAGTCCTGGAAAAACAACTAGAGATGCAAGACTTTTATAAAACCTTTAAATATATCATAATATTGTTTTATGATTAGTTTCTGAGTATAACAATTTCATATGACTTCAAGCAGGGGAAAACAAAACAATACAAAATTTAGGAGTGAAACATTTTATGGGATTAAATGTTTTTTAGGACTCCCCACCCTATCATTTGATCCAAAATAATTGAAAAATGGAAATATGAATGAAAACATCTAGTATTTCCCATTGAGACTTTCTGAAAGTTTTAATGTTTATGGTTTTAAAAGAAACATATGACTAATATAAATGTAAACCAAGTGCAATGAAACAGCCACAGATAATAGAAATTAACAATTATTATTAAAGCAGTCCTTGTTAACCTTGATGAATGAACATGGTAAAACAATGTTAGCAAAATAGCCTCTCTACAGGCAATAAGTAAAGAAAGATAATTATAATAGTTGCAGCATCAATGCTTTTAATCTCCAATGTATTGTCTCCTCAATGATTTTTAAACATTACACTACTAAAATCAACAGAATACACATTTTTGATTGTAATGTTTAATATTTCACAAAGTTTCCCGACTTTTTTCAGGTTCAAAAAATTATCCAACCTTTCCAGACAAGTAGACACCATGTCTTAGTGTCAACAGGACAGGGTGACAGGAAAAAACATTTTAGTTTTCAAAAATAATTTAACTAAAATTAAACTTAAACACTCCAAAAAATTAATTTTATAAAATGAAAAATTAACTTACAGCATTTCCAGTCATTTTGGCAATGTCTTTCAGTTTGTTATACACTCCTGGAATTGTTAATTTTGGGGGAGCAAACATTATTTTTTGAGTTCCACGGCAATTCTAAAATATGGAGGCATATATTACCTCTATTAATAACATATTTAATATGAACATACTATATATTCTTTATTNGTTGATAAGTTTGGCTCAAAATATTTGATATGGCAAGCAATTAGCCAATGTGGATTGAAAAGTTTGTTAACAAAAGGAAATATTAGTGCTGAAATTTATATTAACGAATGTTTAAACAAAAGACTTCTTCCTTTTTTTTTTGTTAAGAAATTATGGTGGTTCTACTTTATCTTTCTGATTACAAATAAAAAGTTATTACTTTTTTGAATTTTACAGATTTCTATCATTATAGTCCTTAATAATATATCTTATTTCAAAACCAAATAAAATATACAACTGTTTGATTTTGAATGCTTGTTTCTACTGTTTCAGATTCTCAGATATTCATATTTTATCATTTAGTAATTTTGCAGATGTTTGATTTTATCACTTTGAATTTAAATATTAATTTTTGGATGATACAAATTGTATCTGACCACCAGATTTTAAATTGTAACTAATAAAAATAGTTTAATTTGTTGTAAAATAACCAATGTCCAAGTACTTATATGCATTAATCTCTATGTAAGATAATTATATATGAGAACAAATTAAAATTTGTTGATGTTTAATAAGTGTACACTTTTGTACACTTCAAAACATTTTTTCATACTCTTTGAAATTTTATCTACTGTTAGTTTGTTATGCTTCATATACTAAAAGCAGCATTTAACTTTGTCTCAACAATATTGCAATAAATGAGATTAAGCATTTTAGGTTTAATTTTAGTTTAAGTTTTTTATTCAGGGCAACTAACAAAGTGGTTAAACTATTCAAAAATGAGATCTTGTAGATCAACTCAACTTCCATAAAAACTCAAAAAAATTTAAACTAAATTTAATTAAAATACTAAGAAAAACTTCTCATCTATGAACATTTTCGTAATAAAAATAAAAATTTCCAAAATGAAATTCTTAACTAATAATTTATTTTTTAATCTAATAAAACTAATATTAACACTGTTAAAAACTAAACCAATCATATTTGTCCTAACTGTGAAATATCTCATAAATAAAAAAAATTTAAGTACATAACAACACACTACACTGGGATAAAGTAAATAAAATACACTAAACCAATAACTGATGTGAAAAAAAATAAAAATAAAAAATACAAATAAACACACAAACGTTTTCTAACTCCTTCCAAGTTCTTCAACAGGTTTTCCAACAGTTGTTAGGTGGAACATTTAAGCTTTTGGAATAATAGTCGAACATGATTTTGAAGAACTAGTACAAAATTCAAAACCTAGAAAGTCATGCACATGTATATTTGTGTTTAATCGAGATTCAATGAAAAGGTTAAGCTGCCTCATAAATGGTTAGAGGCAATGGAGATATTTAAAATTAATTTCACTTCATCATGCATATATTTCAGGGAGGAGATGGTTTTGTCGATGGCCTGGCAAGCTCTGCTTGACAAGATGGTTTAACCTTTTCATTGAATCTCGATTAAACATGAGTATATGCATGTGCAACTTTTTGGGTTTTGAATTTTGTACTAGCTCTTAAAATCCATGTTTAAATGCTATATTCTGAAAACTTATCGACGATCCATGTAATAAGTGTTGGAAAACCTAATGAGAAACTTGGAAGAAGTTAGAAAATGCTTGTTGTTTGTTTATTAGTATTTTTTTGGATCGGTTATTGGTTCTGTATATGTTATTAGATTTAAGTACACAATCTCAGCAAAAATCTTCATATGAAATTACTGATTAAATGGCTAAACAAAATTGATATGCCAAATAAAAAAGTTAACTTAAATATTTTTAAATGAAATAGTTAAATAGTAACCAAGTATGTTAACAAAAAATAATTTTACAGTTAAACATAATATCAATCTTAAATAATTAAATATATTTTTTTGCTATTTAATTTTGTGTAGTGTTTTTTTATACAGTGAGTGATTGGTTAACAAACATTTTGGATAATGAATACTTCCGTGAAACATTTTTATGTTCGGACAATGAATACCTGACAGAATAAACACAAGAAGAAGTGATGCTGAGTCTAAGATTTGTAAAACTATATTTTACTGGAACTGGAATCTACAAATGGTTTATGAAACGAGACTTTCATAGTTGTATACATGACTTTTTTTTGCACTAGTTAATTTCTATTCTCTGAATTTTTGTAAGTGCTTTTCTGAACTTTTTATTTAAAAAACTGATAATATTATGGGGCCTAAAAAGAGTGGCGTGTCAAAAAACTGTGTTCAATATAAAAACTAAGCAAGAGATAATAGCCAAGGTAGAGTGGGCAGATGTCTGATACTGTAGGCAACAGGTCTACAGTAGATACAATCTTAGCTAAGAAAGATATAATCAAAAAGACCGAGCAGATAAAGGAGTAACAAAAATCTCTTCTGAGAAACAGAGATGTAAAAACTGAATAGATTGCTTTTAGTTTGTTATTATGTTTGAATAAACATAGTAAGATAGTAGGCTATATAATTTTTTTATTTATTTTTTGGGATCTCCAAAACAAATTAATCAAATTCCCACAAAAATCTATGGTAAATCAATAATTAGTTAATGAACAATTCAGATAGCAAACAAGGTCTTGGAATGGATTATGTTCATTAACTGATGTTCATTATGTTCATTAATATTAAAGAAATATTTCATTCAAAAATATTTATATTTTACATAATTTTGATATAATTCTTCTAACAAGAAAAAATAACATTCAACTGCTAGACTCAAGAAAATAAATTACAGAAATCAAAATTTTTAGGCTTATTTAAAAGGTTACAGAAGTTTAAAACATTTGAATATTTGAACTTTCTGAATTTTTGTCATATTTTTCTTTATATACTTGGCATAACATTTCAGTTTAATCATTCTTCATACGTTATATATACATATGTATGCTGTGTAAAAAATCCTAATAATCTCTTAAAAATAATAATTAGGTCAGAGCAGATACAGTTTATGTGCATTTTTTTTAAACTTTTAAAGCAATGTTTGTCTCAAATTTCATTTTATTTCATGAAAAATTAAAACTATATTACTGTATTCTATCAATTCTAATGCACCATCAAATCTACAGAGCACACAACCACGTCCTGTGATAACTAAAATATTAATGAACATTTTTGGGCTTTGAGCTTAGCTACATTATTCATTACATTCGAAACCTAAAAAGGTAGTGTGAGATCTGAATTACCCCTGGGTCTAAATAACAATTTAAATATAACGTTAAAATTATAAAGTAAAATATTATTTCATTTTGGTGTGAAAATATCGTTTTTCTAACGTGGGAAACTGATAAAAAGAGCCATTTCCTTTAACAGAAGGAGACACATCCTTTTGTTTTCCACTTATTATTCACAAATCTCACCACACTGAGAATTATCGACCCCTCAATAATTCCCCTTTTCATCCGTTCACATGAGTAAAGACAAATAAGCTGACTGGTCATAAATCATGAGATATAGTCAAAGACCTGCATGATTCGAGGAGTACGTCGAAAGATCTCATAGGGAAAGGAGGTATCCCATATTTGCTCCCTAAGGCCAATGCCCTTAGTTAGGAGTACGAAAGGATCTCAGAAAAGACCGACGTAGTCCATATTTGCTCCATAAGGCCAACGTCCTTAGTCGTATCCAATCGAGTATAATAATGAGTTAATTTAGGAGAAAAAAAGGAAACTTATAATTACGGTGACCATACGTCCTTTATTTAAGAGGAGAGTCCTTTATTTCACTGCTCTGTCCTCTAACTTTATTTATTTTATAAAATAGGCATTTTGTCCTTTATTTTGTAAATTCAATGCAAAGTTTAAAAACTTTTTTAATAATATATTGAACAAGTTAGTTTCGTGTACGCCATCGCGATCAGTGTTGTCATCATGTCCATACGTTGCTACATAGAGCGCGGTAGTGCAGTGTGTCGCCAACCGAACGGCCCTTTGACAGTACCAAGGGGCGGACACTCTTATGGAGATTTTTGTGATAGTTTTTTAACTTTCTGGTTGGTGGATGATACACTTGGAGCGTTGGTGAGCATTCGTCGACACTTGTCGACAATCT